ACATGAAATAATCACTATAATCAAGGCACTAAGTATACTATCACTTCAGTAATTTCCTCATTCTCTTTTGTTTTTATTGTGTTTTACTGTTGAAGTAAATCATTTAACATGAGTTCTACCCTCTTGACAAGTCTTCTAAGTGCACAATACAGCATTGTTAATGATAGGTAGTATAGTATGTTTACTTTAGAACTATTCACGTCTACCTCCTTTGACAAACAACACCCCACACCCTCACCCTAGTCTTTGGAAACCATCACAATATTCTGTTTTTATAAATTTGACCATTTTATATAACTCATTCAAGTGGAATCAAGCAGATCTGAGATGATGGGCTTGTGTGACTTAGCATAACATCCTGCCGCTAATTGCTCCCCGACATCACCAACACTTACTTTTTAAAAATATTACCCATTATTATATGTGTAGGGTGGTATCTCATATTGGCTTTGGTTTGCATTTAAGTAAACCACATACCTTTTGCTATCCAGGGAGCCATTTGTGCATCATTGCACGAGTATTTATTTATATTTTTTAATTGGCATATTTAAAAAAAATCTATTGGGTTGTTAGAGTTCAGAATAATTTCGATACTAGCCTCTTCAGATGTGTAGTTTGCAATATTTTTCCTCATTGTAGCTTTCTTTTCCTTTCTATTGATTGTTTCCTTTGCTGTGCAAAAACTATTTAATTTTATGTAATAATTCTGATTTATTCTTACTTTTACTGCCTGGGCTTTTGGTGTCATATTTAGGAAATCAATGTTGAAACCAGCATTCCAAATTATTTTCTTTTTTATGATTTTATAGACATTTCAGATTTTTAGGTTTTATGCTTGTCTTTATTCCATCTTGACTTTATTTTTGGAGGTAGAATAAGGTAAAGGTTCAATTTCATTATATTGCCTGTGCATATCCATTTTTCTAGGCACTATTTGTTGAAGAGACTTCCTTTTCCTATTATGCATCATTGACAATCAAGTTGAGAATCACATAACTGTTATACACATGGTTAACTTTTGGGCAATTTATTCAGTTGCATTGATTACTGTGCTTATATTTATCCCAGAATCATGCTGCTTTAAATATTATAGCTTTGTTACACATTTTGAAATCATGAAGTATGGTATCCCTAATTTGTTGTCCCTTATATTTCAAAACTGCTGAGATTAACCTGCATATTTTGTGGTTCTCAATGACATTAACAATTCTTTTCATTTATTTCAATTTTTGCAATAAATGGCTTTGGGATTTTGAAAGGAGGGTGACCTTAAATCTGTAGGATTAAATCTGTTGGATATTGTGACATTTTGCAGTAATGAATCTTCCAATCCATGAATACAAGATGTCTTTGTACTTGGTTGTGCCTCTTGTAATATCCTTCTTGAATATCATATAATTTTAGGTGTCTTTCATTTCCTTGATTAAATTTATTCCTATGATTTTCATTTCATTCTGAAGTTATTGTAAATTATGCTGTTTACTCAAATTCCTTTGGATAGCTTGGTAGAATAGAAACAAAACTGATCTTTACATACTTATTTTGTACTCTATAACTTTAAGAATTTATTATTTGTAATAGCTGCTTTGCTATTCATGAAGGCCTTAGCAATTTCACATATAAGAACATATACTATAAAAAGATAATTTTACTACTTCATGTTTAATATTTATGCCTTTCATTACATGGTTTTCCCTAATTTTTCTGAATGGGATTTCTAATACTATGTTGATGAACAAAAGAAAGAAAATTAGACATATCTAATTTTAGAGGATAAGCTTTAAGTTTTCCCACTATAGAATATGATGTTATCTGTGGGTTTATCTACATGGTACAGTTAAATTTGGTGTACATTCCTTATAGATCTAATTGAATAGGAGCTTTTTATCATAAAAGAATGTTGATTTGTTTCAAGTGCTTTTGCTACAACATAGATTTAGATGACAGTATGATTTTTATTCTTCATTTTATGTGTAATATTGCTGTATCAGCCATTTTCCTGTCACTGGGACAAAATTCCCCACACTTGAATCATGAAGGAGAGGTTTTCAGCTGCTTCAGTCTATGTTTCATAGAAATAACATGACAAAAGGGCAGATTAGAAGAAAGCTGTTCAACCTACAGCAGCCAAGTAAAAGAGAGCCAAGGGAGGAGCCAAGGACAAAATACACTGTTCCTGTACACAGCCTCAGTAAAGACCTTTTGACCAGGGCCCACCTTCGAACAGCACATGAATTACTGGACTCATCAGTGGATGAGAAGAGCTCAGCCCAGGCCCCTCCAACCCCTTTGCTTTCCAGATACCATGAGGTGAGAAACTTAGCCCCACCAACTGCTTGGCCTCAGCTCAGGCCCAAAATGAGAGACCAAGCATCCATGGAATACATGCCGTGAAACGATGATCCAAGATAAATCCTTCTGCTTTTATTTATTTTATCTTATTTTATTTATTTATTTTTGGTACTGGGGATTGAACATGGGTCCTTGCGCTTGCAAGGCAGGCAGTGTAATCACTGAGCTAAATCCCTGGCATCTTTTAAATTATTTATCTTAGACATCTTTTCACACCAGTGGAGATGTAATGTATTTCTCTTTACTTACATTTTCTGCTTTCTGCTTCTTCGACATTTCAGTGTCTGACAAGTTCTTACTCATTTCTGTCATTGCTTAATATAGTGGATGCCAATTCACATAATCCTTAACTGGTGTTCTTAGTCTACAGTTCTGCTTATACTCCTATAATTTTTAGAAGTATTAATATTGCAGTATGGAAAGTCCCTAAAGCAGTCATGGTTATTCAAGAATCACTGCATGATGAACCTTCTCCATTTGCCTATACATTCTACATTCAACAGAAATAATCTAGAAGTTGATGGAAAGAATTTCATTACACTTTTACACAAATGTTTCACTGAATGAACCAATGAAAAGAGAGTAGGGCTAAGGAAGGAAATTCCATAGTTTACGTTACTTCAAATGAACAGGTCTGGGATTTAAATCTAGTTCCTTATAATATAAAATGCTCTTATTATAACTTCTACAGATGTTTGCCCACTATTTTTAAAATCATCACAATAATTCACTTATGGAATTAAAATTTATAAGAAAGGTTTAATAGTTTTACAGTGTCATTTGAGCAAGGAAGAGTCATTTATTGTGACTTGAAGAAAAGATTTGGAAGATTATAACCAGATGTTTTGGTATAAGTATTACAGATGTTAAGTAAGTGCTTATGTGTGTGAGCAATAATTGTCATGAAAGGAAATGATTTAAACCTTGTAGTTAATACAAACAACTTCTTTGCAGACATACTAGATGTGCCTAAAGAAAAGAACAATTGAAAAGATTCTATTTAAATCTTAAAATGAAGTGTGTTAAATGAAACACAAAACATTAGACATATTCAAAGAACATTTGGATAAACAATTGTAAAGTAAATATGCAGGCTTCTTTGTGAAAAATATAGAATAGATTTCAGGGTAGATTTTCTACTCTGCATAATATGTTGACATTTTAAATTTTGAAACAATTCAAACATTCCATTGCTAAAATAATTTTTCAACAAACAAGCATATGCCTCTCATCTTGGTATAAAATTAGCATTTTACTTGTTTATTTCTTATATATCCATATATCTATTTTATAAAAACATCTATTAATTTTACACTTTGGAGGATTTGAAAGTACTTTGCTGAAATCTCTAGAACATTCTATAAATACGTGATCAAATTGACATAAAAATGCAATTAAAACAAAAATGTGTTTTTCTTCTAGATTTCAAATTACTAATAACATTAAATTGTTGTGAAGCAAGGCATATAATATAGGTCCAATTGTGGTGTAGTTCTTTGATGTCATGTTAAATAAACATTAGAATTACTTCTAGGCTGAACAAGATAGGTAGGTGAAGTAAAGTAAGTATTTTGATGCAAATGGAAAGAGAAAGATGTCCTGTAATAATAGAAGAAGCAATGAACCTGAGCGAAGAATGACTGTCAGTGAGAATCTTGTACTCACATATCTAAAGCGTTTCTCCTATCTCCTCTTAACTCTTTCCAAAGTCATTAGAGAGGTAATTGCAACTGTCTCTTCAAATATTGAGAGCAGTGATTGTATTTTTCCCATTTCCTTCCTATTCCTTTCACAGGTAATCTCTCCACTATGTCAGATGATGATAAGGGAACAGCATGCAAACGTTGTATTCCTTATAACTACTGGGCTATTTATTTCTACTAGGAAATAAAATCCTTTGTAGTTAAAGTAGCTTTACTTTTTTAAGTTTCTGTAATTCTTGATGTGATTTAAGTGCATTATTGTTAAAATTCTATTGGCAGAGGATTATTTTTAATAAAGTCGATGAAAGTCATGACTTCTTTTTAAATAGTCTTGGAATTCACTTAAGCTTTTAATATGCTTTATTGCAACGGTTTATTTGTACTTTAGAGGTAGGGCTGTATTGTTCCCAGATTATGATTCTACCTTAATTGTAACTATAACAATAGATGCAGTTTTACAAGTATTATAAACTTCCTAGTATAGTTATCATCATTATCCTATTTTTAAAGTAGTTAAAACAAATTATCTAATAATTACATTACACTAGTATGTTACCTTAACTAAAAGTGTCGTTTCTTACTACAGACTACAAATGATATGTTAGAATAAGAAATGACTTGAATGTAGAAGCTCTACCACCTTCTGTGTAACTGTTTCTCACCTTAAAAATAGAAACAAAGTGCCACCATCAGAGCAGTATCCAAATTAAGACATATTTACAACAGTCATAGAGTGATTTCTCATTGAATTGTATGCATTTCTGTCACCTTCTATTCCTGTCTCAGACTCTCTTTAATATGTCATTTTGCAGTGTTTATCTTTTCCTCAGAAAATGTTTATTCATATTTGATGCAAGCATTTAAAATACTCTTTGAAGGCTTTTTAAAATATCACTGTCAACAACTAAAATAATTTTTATTCTTACAAGTATTTACATTGTCTCTAGCTTTGCGCAGTGGCAGTATCGTAGCCAATGAGGTTTATCCGAGGCGCGATTATTGCTAATTGAAAACTTTACATTGTCTCTAACTAATCATATAGAGGAGATCAAATCCTCAATGAATTATAACCTGTTGTAGTGTGCTTGTAGTCATAGTCATTTTCTTCATCAAACATTAATATATAGTATTGATTATATTAGCATATTGAATAAATAATTTGAAATTAAATTTTGACATAGCTATAAATATCATGGAATTTCAGTATTTATTTAAAATTTTAACTGGGCACAATAATGTATTCCTTTAATCCCAGCACTCTGAAGTCTGAGGCAGGAAGATTGCAAGATAAAGACCAGCCTGGACTAACTTTGGCTCAAAAAGAAAAAAAAAACAAAAACAAACTATGTCATAAAAGTTTAAAATTTAATGTAGAACTCATAAAAGCCATTTCAAAAATCTCAAGAGCATTACTGCTTATTGCAGTCAATTTCCAATTGTTGCTTTTTTTTGTTTCTGACTGACCCACAATTATGTCAATAGGAGCAGATAAACCAGTTTGTAAATCACTTGCAGTAGTAATCTTTAAATAGGAAATGCTAGTGTTTTGCTTTTCACAAATATAACTCTTTTCAAAATATTTCTGACACTAATGTTTAGTCATTATTTTTCAGCCTTCAACAGGAGATACTTGCAGGTTCTCAAACTATTTCTAGATACTGATGCCAGATCTTGTAATACTTGGGTTTTATTAGGTCAAATTGATCTCAAATCATTCAACAAAAGATAGTAATTCATAAGAACAGATCAACAGGTTGAAGCTTATTTTTATATCAGTTTATATAGATTGCTTTTCTTTTCACAACCCATCCTAGATTCCTCTCATTGACAGCCAACCCTTCCGTTGGTATTCATGCCCTGATTGCACAAGGTCGATTCTCCGACTTAGGAGATTTGTGTCCCTGACCATCACACCTTCTCAGACCAGGGTTGATGCACTAATCCCCTCGCACGGAACATTGAGCAGTGAAGGACCAAGTGAATCACTCTGGTATCAGATATGTTGGGTAACAGCAACACCAAGTTAGTGCAGGGATCTCAGCCACCTGTGCAAGGAGAACACCGAGCCTGTTTCCTTGTTCACCAGACACAGAGAACACAGTATGGCAGTATGAACGCAATATGTTAATTCCTTTGGGGGCAGATCTGCCGGACTGGAAGAGCAAGGAATTTAACTCTTTTGAAGGGGAATTTCTAGGTGTGAGGCATGCTGTGTACCCTGTGCACCACTCTGAGTAGTGAGGGTAAGTGAAGACTTCTCCTGCTTCTCCTCCTTGGTTACTGAGTCCATGCGTTCCCTTTATGAGCAGGTGAGTCCTCGGTCGGCATACTGCATTCCAGAAGATAGTATCTCACTTCCGAGCTGGCACTTTGTCTGCTCCTGTCCTGGCACCACAATGTACCCCTGGTGGCTTTTGGTTGGAGAGGTATGGAAAAGGACCAGAGGGACCCATTCATCATCCAGGTGTACAGTTTATCAGTTTTAATCAGCTGATAAAAAGCAACTCTAGAGGCAACCATAATATGTTTTCAGATTTAGTAATGAGGGCATCTTGGTCTGTTTTGCACTGCTGCAACAGCCTATCAAAACTTGTTAATTATAAGTGTATTTCCCATGGTTATGAAGGTGGGAAACTCTGATCATGAGGCTTTCACACACATCCTGGAAGTTCTGTAAAGTGTATTCATGCTACACACTCCACTCAAAAGGTAGTCCTTCATTTTGTGAAATATAGGAGATGAAGTAATATACCCATGTAGGAGATATTCTTTCTAAGAATTTGAAAAGATATACTTGGCATTATATTTTTGCCTTCATGGCAGGATATTTACGATGCAATACATTATCACAGTTTAGACAGGATGTCCTAGCACATTCCGGATCAGTAGACCTCTAATTTTTTATAGATATGACAGGCCCCTGAAACTTCATAACTTTTATCTTTCAAATTTGAAATATGTTTGTCTTGCCCAGTCCTCCAACATGCTAGGACTTAATATAAAGGTAGTGGATCAACACAATATCTCATGAGCTATTCAGCCAGTCCAGAGAGTTTTAGACAACATTACAATATGGAGAAAAAGAATTAACTTATCTCTGGGAGAAAATTGTAAATGAACATTATTACCTATTATGTGTGATTGAAAAGGTTTTCTTATTCTCCTACTAGATTAGAAATTAATTCATTAAATTATTACATCATGCTCATGAGGCTTTTCAATCTACTGTAGTGAAAATGTGCCCCCGAGAAGAGTGGCTGCAACTCAGGCAGGGGAAGGATTGAGTTTGTGGCAGGTTCCTGTCCTCACCAGCATTCATTTGGTTTTGTAGAGGTAAAAACTAACATGTTACAGTCGGTAAAATGCAAACATGATGAGGACTACCACCTTGCATGTACTACTGAAATATTTGAGTGATTGACCTTTGTTTCTACTAACCCTAAAGATACAGTATTATTTTTTATTTATTATGTTTCCTGGAGGGAGCAATTTCAGAGGCTTTCGCATGTTTATGCTATTTTAATTATTATAATGGCTCTTACTTTGAAGATTAAGAATTCAAATGGTGGATTTTGCTAGCTGAAAGCATATACTTCCTAATTCTACTTTTGGGAATTCATAAATGATCATTAAGTGGAATTCATGGTCTAATAGTCCCAGGACAAACCAGACCTTGTCTAGAATTCTGTTTATTGCATACTTTACTAGGGACAATGAGAATTAATTACAATTCAGATCTTTTTTAAATTTTAATTTGTTTTTGTGGTGCTAGGGATTGAACCTGGGGCCTTGTGCCGGCTAAGCAAGCACTCTACACTGAGCTGCATACCCAGCCCAGATCATTTTTTTAACTGAGAACAAATTTTATTTTAAAAGCAGATCTCAGTAACATTGAAATACCAAAATACGGTCATTATAATAGAAAAACAAAAGGTAAGAGAAGTTTGCTTTATTTTTTTCTGAAAATACAGAATTAACCATCATAATATACTGCCATCTCACACTTGTTTTTTTTTTTTTTTGGAATTATTCCTTCTATGGAATATCCAAGGATATTTAAAAATTAGTGGTTTCTGCATGATATTTATTCATACATCTGGATTTTTTAAAAGATCTTTTGTTTCACATTCCTCAAAATGTTTGAGAATTTTGTATCATCAGAGTATACCTAAACAGTTTTAGATTCCTTGGAGAAAGACTTGGTGAGATAAATGTATATACATGTAACGGTTTTATGAGGTACATTTTTTTTGGGGGGGTCCCAGCTTCCTTTTCCCAAATGGGCTTTGGAAATAAAAAAAGGCTCAGAACTAGAAAGCAGGAAATAAATAGTGTGCACCTTCTTAGAGTAACTGCTCCTGGGAACATGGTTATGTATTTTTAATTTCTTCTGAAGATAAATTTGTGTGGTGTCTTTTTTGAGGGATATTTGACCCTAGGGATTTATGTCCTTTTAACCATTTCTGTAATTCTCAACTATTCTGCATGCCTGAGCTGTCATTCCAGCTGTGTGTATTATAATTTCATATATCTGCTGCCTGGGGTTAACCACATGAGCTCTATACTTTAGGGTTTTATTATTCTCTTTGACATTAATGAACCTTTTTTTTTCTTTAATGGACTCTTCTACCTTTAGTCCTGTCTTATTGATAAGTTCTACCAAAGAATTTATTTTTTCCAACATCTTATATCCTTGGTTAGTGCAGAATTCTCTGCAATCTGGTGTGTCCTCTAACCTGATATATTTATATATCCTAGAATGCACCTTGACTTGAATTTCTTAATTCCTTCTTCCATTGTTTACACAGCAAGCCTGGCATTTCAACTTTGGTAAAAAATGTCCTCACTTTTCCTATAGTGAGGGTATATATCTAAGTACAACTTAGTACCACTACCCAAAAAATGCATGTACTGCTAGATTATTAAATCCTGTATGTTAAGATAATGAATTCCCTATTCTACTTTATATTTTGTTTACAGCTGGTTTATAGTGTTAACCCTAGTGAACAAGATGGGAGGTGGGATTCTGCACTGTGAGGGGCATCTGTTTCCTTGAAAGGGAGAATAATATAAAGATTATTAAAATATGAATGTATTCTTGGTCTTATTATCTTCAACACTGACATAACTAATTTGTCAGAGTATTGAATTTAAAAAATATGAGTAATATCTAAAAAACCCAAAACAATAAATATACTATCCTGAAAATTGTATTTTGAAAAGTACAGAAATTTTTCCAAGTTTAGCAAAATAAAAGTTAATAGGTTCAATTATTAAGAGCAAAATTGAATATAGAACCAATACATGCATGTAGAAAATATGAAAATATGTGTATATGAATTAAGACTCAGAATCATAAAAATATTTTTCTCTTGTTACTTTCAAAATTTTTCTGTTTATTCTTTCTTTAGTTTGACTGCAATATGTCTGAGTCTTTTGTATTAATTTCACCTGGGTTTCTTCTATGTGTAGATTAATGTTTTTCACAAAACTTTGGAAGCTGTTGGGCCACTTTCTTCCTCAGCTATTTTTATATCTTTTTTGCCTTTCTCTTCTCTTTCTGGCACTCTCATTATATTGCTTATTATCCCTCAGAGATCTGATTATTTTTGTTTATTGTTATTTCTCGTTTCTATATTGATATATCTATCAATATATCTTTGAGTTCAATGCTTCTACTGCTCCAATTATTGTATTTTTCAGCTCCAGAATTTTTATTTGTTTTTTTCTTATAATACAATAGTCTCATTAATTTTCTATTTTTTATGGATCACTTCAATCAGTTTTTTATTTTAATTCTTTAATAATTGTTTTCTCTTTTTTAACATATTTATATTACATACTTTGGGATGTTACATCCAACAAATTTTCTCTCAGAAAAAGTTACAGTTGAACATCTTTGCCCCCATGAAGGAGCTACACTTTCCTCTTGCTTTGCTTTCTTGTATTTATTATTTTCCACTGTTTATTTGTACCTTTTAGATATACATTGTGATCACATTCATCATTGGGAATTTGTATCTGTACATGATGTATCTAGGTTCTTGTTTACTTTAGTAGATAACAGATAATATCTGTAGC